CTAAAAGGCATATGAATCAGTCTGTAGAGAGTTTCTTTCTGGGCCCAATTTCAATGTCAAACAGTTCCTTATGTGTACATGTCAGCAATGATATTTCAGTTCTGGATGGTGGGCAAATGATGGTAACGCAGGTCCAACCCTCTCTGGTTTGGTCCTGGGCAACCTGCAGTGATACACAGTTGCTGACTACTATTATGGCAAAGTGTCGTCAGCATCTTCCATCTCTGGACTGCTTCTCTTCTGTCTTCATGGTTGGAGTAGTCCTGTGAATTCCTCTCTGTTGCTGGAATCCACATGGTCTCGGAGTTGTTTTCTGAAAATATACAAACATATTCTCGACCAAAAGTTAATAAAGGAATATTTTCTATAAATTGACTTGGGATCCTTTTTCATCTTTTGCCCAAATGATTTTCCTCTGGCTTGTTTTGACACCATGTGTGTTTTTCATGGGTGTCTTGCTGATATAATTCCATTTTTTATGCTTCATTTCATCCTATAGTCCCTCGGAGACCTTGGTTGCATGTGCCCGGCTAGCTCAGTCGGTAGAGCATGAGACTCTTAATCTCAGGGTCGTGGGTTCGAGCCCCACGTTGGGCGCGTCATTCTTTTAGGTCTGTGTCTTCCACTGCTGTCAAATGAGAAAGTTTAGAGCCCAACCAGGTGGGCGGCTAGGGTTCCTGGCTCTGGCAATGCCTTTCTCTGGTTTATTATTTAATCAGGTAAAGGCGTTTACTCTGTATACTTAAGCTCCTTGGATAATCCATACAAACAGTCTTGGATGCAGAAAGAAGGTGCAGAGATGTGTGGAAAGGGTGAGGTTTGAAGGTGCACAAAACGATCCACAGGGAACAGTTTGACAGGCAAAGTCCGTGGCGGGTCTCGGGCACGTGTCCTTATGGAAACACGGAAGACGCATTTTTTATTACCACTGCCTTTCGGGGGGTCCTGGCCACCCACACCCCCGCAGACAATGCTGTTTCCCACCTTTCTTCCTCCTGATGGCCGGTGAAAGAACTAGCGAAGCCACCACAGGCTGTTCTTGCCCACATAATAAAATAGAAAGGTTTACTCGAGTTTTTGAAAATCCAAACTGCATTTCTACCCCCAACTCCCAGGGTCCGGCCACCAATGTCTGCTCACTTCCCTCCATGCACCCTTTTGCTCGTACAAATAACGTGCTGGTTGTGGAGCAGGTCAGTTCAGCCGCGCACTTCGCCAATGTTATCCCAGGCGGGAGCGAATTTGGCTATTCCTGGAGAGTGAGTTGAAAATCAGTCCCTTGGTCAAACTGACGGAGACTTTTTGAAATTTCCCGTCTCCCTGTGAAAACCCCACCGCATACGTCTTCCTTTAGAATTCCTTGGAAGCTTTCGTACGTTCACTGGTAGGGGTTTCACCAAAACCCCCAGGAAAGTGAGAAGAGACAGTGGACACACACACACCTCCCTCTGGCTTCACTAGCGCGTCCTCGCGTCCCCTTGGGCCTCGGGCCCCGCGGCGGACACGCCTGCGTGCGGTGTCCACGTCTGGCTGCATGTGACCTGGGGGTTTCTAAGACCAGATTTCTGGGCTTCGTCACTCATCTGGTCAGTCTGGACCTGGGATGGCTTGGAATCCATGTTTTAGTGGGGGACACCGATGGCATGTGGAGAATGCCCTCCCACAGGGTGTGCACGCCGACGTGGCTGGAGAAAGTCATGATTTCTGCAACTTATTTTCAAACTTTACAACTCAAGGAATGTGTGCACACACGATAAGGGGCGAGGGGGACGTGGGGTAAGGAGTGGCAGGAGGCGGGCCTTCTCTCCACGATGTCCATCTCCTTTCGACAGGCCCCCACGCTCGCCCCGGTCCGCAGGAGTGGGCCTCGGAGGGTCAGCAGGGTCGCCGAGTCCAGGACACAGACGCGCCAGGTCGCGGCCCCGGGAGCGGAGAGCGCAGAGTCGGCACCCACGGAGGGGAGCCCAACGTCGCGCTTCCTTCGATAGCTCAGTTGGTAGAGCGGAGGACTGTAGTGGCGGCTCCCAGGCATCCTTAGGTCGCTGGTTCGAATCCGGCTCGAAGGAACCAACATTTTGCGCCTCTTTTTTTCTTTTTTCTTTTCCAGCTCCAGTCCTTTCATGCCTGGGTGGGCATCCATTGGACTATGTTTATTGTGCAAGGAATCTATGTCTTTATATCTTTATTCTCCGTCGCCGTGACGAATACGCGCGATCAGATGTCAGCCCTTCATTCGCACACAACCGGCGCCCCAGGGGCGCCCGGCGTCTCGGCCGGGCGTCCAGAGCCGCGAATCCGCTCCGTGAGAGACGGGGAGCGGGAGGGACGGGATGGAGGGGAGGACCGCCGGGCGGACCCGCCGACCGCGGGGACCAGGTGGAGCACGCGCGCCCCCTGGTGGCCAGAGAGCCTGGCGCCTCCGGGAGGACTTTCTCGGGGGCCGCCGCAGCCCCGCCCGCGGAGGACTCCCCGGCGCTGCGCCCTGGACTTGGGCGGCGGGTCTCGGCCTCGGCCGGGACGGTTGGGGGACGTCGGCGTCGGCGGGGGAGGTTTTACGAAGCGCCCGGCTCGGGCCGCGGCAGGGAGCCCCTCGCGCTGAGAGTCCTCAAAGCTCCCAGGTGATCTGAGGTTTCCAAGCTCCCAGGTGCTGCGAGGTTTGAGAACCACTGCCACAAGAGAACCAAATATTTTAGAAGGAAAAGAGAAAAATCAGTAGGATTTTCTGCCCGCCTTGTTAAATACTGCCTAAGGATCTTTCTTAACAATAGAAAGCATCGCGTAATGTGCCCGTCTCATTTCTACCAGTCAAACCTGCAAACGTGAGAAAAATCCCAAAAAGGTGAAGCCTGCCTGTCATACCGTGAGGGTGGGGTGACCACCATCCCGGCTTGAAAATGGGCGATGGAAGTCCGGAGCCCTGGTCCCGGGGGCATCTGCTCGCGAGAACAATTGAGCCCAGTCATTGGTTTAAAAGTTGGAGAATGCGGGCATCGATCCCGCTACCTCTCGCATGCTAAGCGAGCGCTCTACCATTTGAGCTAATTCCCCACCCTGCCCTGCCTCGCCTCTGCGAGGCCTCTGCCCTTCTCTTACCCAATTTAATATTGGGAAAGAATTTGGAATTTTTCCGATACTAGTTGTAAATGAGACTGAGTGGACTCAGGTCAAAGGAGATCGGACCGCCCCAGGGAGAGTGCGGGCGGCCAGCGCCACCGGAAGGGGCTGCGCAGAGCTGGTCCGGGTGCGGACACTGCAGAGGCCGGGGGACTCAGCGCGGAGTCAGCGGGAACCGGACACGTTTATTTAACCCTGGAACCCACCCGCGGAAGCAGGGAGCCGGAAGGGAAGAGCAGGGGCATCCAGGAGGGGAAATTCAGTGTCTCAGGCAATGGGAAGGCCCTCACCCAACATCTGCACCTTCAAACACTGCTTCGCCTCCTGCTGCATGCAGCATTAGAAACTTCCTCCCTGTGGTTTAATATTATTTTTAATCTAATTAAATTGGGGCAAGAGGGTCAAAATTAAAATGGAGAAGGTCCATCAAAATGGATCTTCCCAGATCCTGACAATGTCCTAATGCTTGTTCTTCCTTCAGCCATTATTATTATTATTATTGCAATCAGGGCTGATAAAAGTGGATAACTTCCTGTGGAAAGAAACCCATTGCTCCCAACCCCATGCTTAGACAAGAGAGTTCAGAACTTCGTGTTCTCCGTGTTGTGGGAACCCACCACTCATCGCAGAGAGGCTTACTGTCTGTCAGCCTTGCCTTGGTTCTCACCACCACCTGCTGTCTCCATCCTCTTCCCCGGGCAGAATGCACCCAGACACAGAACTCAGTTTGGCCTCCACGCATGTATTTCTGCTGTTTATTTTCCATGGATCTGTTAGGAGTGCAGGTGTGGAACTGGAATGGAAGAAAGTAGCCCGCAACAGCCAATCGCTCAGATCCATGGAGTTGTTTTTTTTTTTGTTTGTTTTTTTAAGGGGAAATTAATTGTATTCTATCCATTTATTTTAAATATATATTTTTACTAATTTCAGATAGGAAGGGCGAGAGAAACATCAATGATGAGAGGAAATCGCTGATCGGCTGCCTCCTGCACGCCCACCACTGGGGAACGAGGCCGCCACCCGAGCATGTGCTCTGACCAGAATGGGACTTGGGACCCTTCAGTCCGCAGGCCGACGCTCCATCCGCTGAGCCACACCGGCCAGAGCTCCATGGAGCTTTCTCAGGGCTGACAGGGAACTGGGAGTGATGGGTTTGCTCGCGGACCCCCAGAACGAGGTCTTCATTCCCTATTCCCGGAGAACATACTGGGCATTGACATTTTACAACGGCCGGCTTAGCAAACTTCCTTCAAATACGAGTAACCAAGTCAGTGCTGAGAGGCAGTGCTGACCGGGAGCCCATTAGCTTACCCCGGGGACGGTGGGCGACAGGCAATAGCGGTTACCGTGAGGACACAGGGAAACGGGAAACGGGTGGAGAGTGCCCTCCTGTGGCCACTGGTGCGCCCTGCACACGGCCCCTTTAACAGCCAATATGGCGGATAAGAAAGCCGCACGGCTCTGGAGAACGTCAGTGCACCGTAGAGAACTGAGTAAGGGGGACCTCCGACTCATGCAGCCGTGCTTCATACTGCCACCACCTAAGACACTCCAGCCGCTTCCCCAACCCCCGAGAAGCCAGCTGCATCCTGCCATTTCACGCCTCACAAGGCGCACAGCAGGGATATTACACTTCCGGACCAGCCTTTTCCGGGGACCATCCCTAACCCGGAAGTCAGACTACTTCCTGTTTCCTGAGTCTCTGAACTGCTCTCTTGGTTTGAATTTCCCGCTGACTTGGGATCCACTTCCGACCTCTGCACTAAGCACGGGCTCCCATTGGTCAGAACCTTCATAGGCCCCACCCCTTCGACGCAGGCGTCGCACGCAGCGCGCGTCAGACGGCGTGGCGCTTTACGGCTGTCGTGCTGCACATGTCGGCAAGCATGGCGGCTGCGGAGTCAGAGAAGGAAGTAGCTGAGCTGGAGCCTTTAGAAGGGAGAGACCTGGAATTAGAAGCGGAGGAGGAGCAGGAGGAATCCGAAGAGGCGGTGGGCAGCGCCAAGAAGCGGGTGGTGCCGGGCATTGTGTACCTGGGCCACATCCCGCCCCGCTTTCGGCCTCTGCACGTACGGAACCTTCTCAGCGCCTACGGCGAGGTGGGGCGAGTCTTCTTCCAGCCCGAGGGTAAGTGCGCGGGTCCGAGGAGCGGGGGCTGAGTCCATCGGGTGTGCGGGATTCGTAGGGGCCGGGGTGGGGCGTAGCCCTGTAGGCCTATTCTCGAAGAGCGGATGTGGATTTTAATCTCCTGTTTTGGCCTGAATTTTACCAGGTGATTATATGCGTGCAGCCTGAATAAAATCGCAGTGCTTTTTCTCAAAACGGAAGCTCTCCCTTTGCCATTTCGGCCGAGGTGAAGAGACAATCTGTGATCAGCCCCCAACTGCCCGGCAGGCACGAATGGGAATTGGAGTCGGGGCCTGTGCGGTTTTAAGTAGGGTATTTAGGGCAGGCCTGATTAAGGACTTAACACCAAAATTAAAGGCTTTTCAGGGTGAGAAGCAACAAACATTTGTTCAATAAGAACAGCTATTCGGAAAGGACTGATTCAGGAAGAAACCCCAATAGCTCTAGCTGGTTTAATTCAGTGGATAGAGCGCCGACCTGAGGACTGAAGCGTCCCGGCTTCAGTGATTCATCATTGATGTTTCTTTTTCTCTCTTGCCCTCTTCCTTCCTCTCTGAAAGAAATAAAAATATACTTATTTTAAAAAGAAGCCCAAATAGTTGTGATTTTGAGACAAACACAAAAGGTATTTATGAAAAAAGGAAGGGGACAATTGCATCAGTAGAAGAAAGGCGTTGCTATTGGTGCAGATAACATCGTGATGCTAATTTTAAACAGTGTTTTTAATTTTCAGCCTGGTAATTATCAGTTCACTAATTATTATCTGCTTTCTTGTTATCTTTGCAAAGAGTTCTTTGTGGCACAAAGTTTTAGGCCCAATCAAAAGGTTATTTTGCCCTGTTTAAACATCCAAAGGTTTGAGGCCTACACATATAAAGCAGTTCTTTGGGGATGGCAGCTCTGGTTCCAGTTTGAAATGGCTCCATTTATATTTTGACAGTAGTTAGCATTGAGGGAGGAATGAGTTAGACATGGGGAGAAAGGGTGGGCTTTGCAGTTCTCAACTCCCTTCCCTACAAAGACCTTGGAGTGGGACCCTGGTCTGTGGGCAGGTTTTGAGAACTCAGCAAGTGGGCCATCCAGTGAGTGGCTGCTGCGTCTGTCCCCATGACCACCGCTCTCTCTGGCACACAGGCGGGTTCGTGCGGCGCAAGAAGAAGGCAGCGGCGGCCTCGGCCTCGGGAGGGAAAAAGCGGTCCAAGTACAGCAAGGACTACACCGAGGGCTGGGTGGAGTTCCGGGACAAGCGAGTAGCCAAGCGTGTGGCCGCCAGTCTGCACAACACGCCCATGGGTGCCCGCAGGCGCAGCCCCTTCCGTTATGATCTCTGGAACCTCAAGGTGAGAGGACAGACTCGTCTGCCCCATCTCCCATCCTACCTTCCCAGCCCCAGCCCTGGCACCTCCTGTTTTCTCTCCAACCGACCTGTCGTACCCACATCTTTTTTTGTTTTCCTGCCTGCAGTACCTGCACCGTTTCACCTGGTCCCACCTCAGTGAGCACCTTGCTTTTGAGCGCCAGGTGCGCAGGCAGCGCCTAAGAGCCGAGGTGGCCCAGGCTAAGCGTGAGACTGACTTCTACCTTCGAAGTGTGGAGCGGGGGAAGCGCTTCCTTGCTGCTGATGGGGACGCTACCCGCCCGAATGGCTCCTGGACTTTTGCCCAGCGACCTACTGAGCAGGAGCTGAGGGCCCGGAAGGCGGCTCGTCCAGGGGGTCGTGAACGGGCTCATCTGGCAAATGCTCAGGACCAGGCCCGCTCTAACCGAGGGCTCCTCGCCAGGATCTTTGGGGCCCCACCTCCCTCAGAGAGCATGGGGGACCCCATGGTGGTCAAGGACTCTTGAGGGGCAGAGAGTCCCCTCCATCTCCTAGCTCAGCCCAGAGTTCTGACTACCTGATAATGACTACTCAGGCAGACAGTTTGTTTCTCGGACCAGGAGTTTCTGGTGAGTGTCCACATGTAGTTTTGTGGGCCTCTGCTCCCCTCTCCAGCTATTGCACATGCCTGGCGGAAGCACCTAATCCATGCCAGTAGGTGATTATGACAACTGCAGGTGCCTGTTCTGTCTCATCTGACAACCAGTTGTCTAATTGGGATTTACCAAGTCAACCATATGAAGGTGTGAATGACAGCACATACCAACGTATGCTCCTTGGCATTAAGAATTGCATTGACTACTAGGAAAGGGAAGATATTTAAGGAATAAACTTTCAGAGACATCATGGTGGGTGTGTGGTGTGTAAGGGGCCGTGAGAAGGTATGATTCCTGATCACAGCCTTCAGAGATGGGGTTGTTTTTTCACCAACTTTCCCAGATCCTTCCTAAAACTTGAACAGAAGTCTGGAAGATCCTGGAGAACTATAATCACAGAATTCCCAGGATGGAGTGTTGGGTTGAAAGCAGTGCATAGGGGGGGTGAAGCCTAGGAGGTAGTGGCACAGTGATTCCACTTAGGTGGACTCAGGTTGGGATTCAGATGGGAAGGTCACAGACACATGCAGAGCAGCCCCAGAGGCACTGGGTGTAAACCATTAAGGACTGAAAACGAGTCACCATAACTAAGAAGTCTCCACATAGCCTCATAGAGGTCAAAACTGATCCGAATCCAGTATCAAAGCTGGACAAATAGAGTAGTAGATCAAAGTTTAGCTACATTTAATAGTCTATAATAAAAACCCTTACAGTCCGATAATACAAAAGTTTCTTTAAAGGGCATCCAAGGAGATTTATTACAAATCTCAAAATTAATTGTGAAACATTGAAAATATTCTAATTAAAACCAAGAATGAATGAAGATACTTCTATCACCACTACTGTTCATACGCCATCCAAAAAATCCTGGTGATACAAAGTGGAAAAAGGATAAAATTGCCCTGGCTGGTGTGGTTCAGGTGGTTGGAACAATGTCCTGTGCACTGAAAGGTTGCCGGTTCCATTCCCAGTCAAGGCCCATACCCAGGTTGCATGCTTGATCCCTGGTAGGGGTTGTGCAGAAGGCAGGCAATCCATGTTTTTGCTCTCAGTGTTTCTCCCTCTGCCTTCCTCTCTAATAACCAATAAAAATATATTTTTAAAAATATAAGATTGACATTATTGTATCATAATTTCAACACAAGTCTCCAGAAAATTGGTATTGCCAGTTTGAGCATAATCTATATCCTAAAAGGCCTGCGGTTGTGACGCTGTAATGGCGAGAGCTACTAGCGGCAGAGAGCTACAGGAAGGCAGGGCATGAGCCATTAGCGTTGGGCAGGGTGGCCTGCTGAGGCAAGCAGAAGCAAGCTACTCATGCACAATTTTGTGCACACTGGGCCTCTAATACTACATAAAAGTAGATAGCATTCTGCCCCATGCCACAGATATAAAAATGCACTGAAGTAAGAACACACATGGGCAATGAGTGTATAAAAGGTTCTACCAGGACTAAGATAGCACTCAACTACAGAGATGGGTAAGCACTATACAGACAGTTCTCGGGTTACGTCGGACTCCACAAACGTCACTGTGGGTCGCCATCTCCCATTTATATTTTTAAAAAGTTCCATCATTTTGACATATGTATATACATATGTGCTTTATGTTTTTTATTTACCACAAGGTCAGGAATTGTTACTTTAAATTTTTTTTTATTTAGTTTCACTTCATTACTGCTGTGAATGTGCTCCAAGTGAGCAACATAGGTGCTTATATAGTGGGTTCCATCTTAACAGCGAAAATTGCGTTATGAAAATCACATTACATTGCGCCGTAGGAATGAATCTACGACATAACCCAAGGACCTGTAATTGTATTGACAGATCAACCCACATTTCTATCAAAAGGGCATGGGTAGGATTATCAAGAACCAAAAAAGTCGGATATGGGTATAGGTAGGTAAGTCAATGTTCAACTGAGGTAGGCTAGTCTGTAGGATGGGTATAACTGACAGATACACAAAAATGTTGACTGAGCGGGGTCTCAAAGCTCTTACCTGTCATGTTCACCCACAAACCTCAACCCTATATTTACCTCTCATGGTAAGGAACCCTATAAACCAGGATGAGGAAAGTGTTTCCTGATAAATTAGAGCCAGTCTGGATTAACCTGTCCACTTAACATCTCTAGAAGGAAGTGTTTCTTGGCAGGACCTATTGTCCTTCACTAATTACATTGAAAAGGACATTTAACCCTTTCTCCACTCACCTAGACTCTCCCCATAGGTGTGTGTGTTCATGTCCTCATGATACATTAGTACTGGCACTTCCCTGCCCAGCAAGTGGAGCAGGGAAAAGTAGTTAAACGGAATTGAGCTGCTCTAGAGGATGATATTCTCCCAGGTGTCTTTCTTTCTCTGGGAGCCTGATGTTTAACATTTGGGTAACAAGGGCACTGGACTCCACGAGTCATTGATGGTGCACTGGTTGTTACTGAATGTTAGCCAACATGGGCAGATAAAGCTGTTACTCCTCCCTGTGCCGTATGTCATGCAGTGGGAAGGCTCTGAAAGGACCCACTGTCCAGAGAAGAGCACAGGCACACTCCGTCCTGGTTTCACTCTCAGCTTTAGCACCAGAATTCTAGATGACCCAGTGACTACGACCACCACCAGGACTCAGTTAAAGTATACACCAAGATGAATTGATATAGTGAAAGGATTCCTGATTATTTGCTTTATTCTAATACAAGTGTGGGGGGATCTTGTTTTTAATATAGTAGAGACAAATGCAGTTTTTCAAAGCAAATGTTTATTTAAGAATTAAGGGAAAACAAAAAAAAAAACATTAAAACATAGGAATACATTGAATACAAGTGTCTTGTTTGGTCTGAAATTCGTGAAAGTTACTCTAACTACTTACCTGAGGTAGATCTAGGTTGGCACTGTCTCAAAAGAACCTCCATCCATCCCAGAAGTTACCTCCCAGTTTTGGTTACAGGCTCCCAAGTGGTCCTCCCCAACCTCAGGTTATGCTATAGGAACAGTAACAATACCTTTTCCCCTATGGTTAAAACGCCTCGGATTTGTTTCATACCCACAAAGTTCTGTGTTTGAGGGATGGTCCATCTTTAATTTACTTGAAGACTAGAGAGAGTAATCACGAGATTCGCTGAAAAAAGGGTCAAGTCATCCTGTCGATGTTACCAACTCTGTCCCCTTCTGCAAGTTCTAATGACTAACAATTAGCCACAGGACTAATTTCATCACCACCATGCCATTCACCCATACTATTTTAGTGTTACAATAATCAAACATATGCTAGTGATAGGCATGATTTTCAAAATAAAAACAAATACATGTTGTGTGTTTTACCACACTAGGCAACTTTTCATTGTATAAGAACTATTTATGAAAACCAAAGTATCAGCTTGACTCACCTCCCAGGATCTGTTTACTAAAAAACAAACAAACAAAAAAAAAAACCTTAGAATCAGATTCCTTACTATCACTATGAGCTGTACCCACTGACCCTAGGATTATCAAGATGAGCAGCCAGTCATCAGGATCATAGCTTAAAGCCATACACAAAGCAGCCGCTGGCCACCTCCACGAGTCTGAGGCCAACGCTCCTGAGTTTAAGGATTCGCTATGATTGACCAGATCAACCAGATAGACTAGCAACAAAATATGTATTCACCAGTCTAGGCCCAAACACTGCAGAAATCTTACATATTTTTATTAAGTGTCTTTTAATCTGAGGGGACAATACTCTCAGAAGTGTCCATGTATAGATTCCTGGATTAATTACAATACATCTAGAGAATATTTAATATAATAATTATTCTGTTAAACTGGAAATTAAGTGCTTATCCTCGAACCTCTGATGAATTTGGCAACTACTTTTTCTCTCAAGCATTTAGTATCCTACATTCCAAGCCAAATAAGTATCTTAGATTGTGATTGCATAGGAATACAAAGTATTCTCTTTTCTTGGCAGAACTGAAGCAAATGAAAGACATACCATTATGGAACTGAATTTGTTATAAACAGCAGAATAATGGAGTGAAAAGAACACACGCTTTGCAGTTAGGATAGTTAAACCAAGAAGCATGGCTCCTCCATTAACTGCATCATCATGTGTTACTTGCCTGCGCAAGTGTTCTATCAGCCATTCTGCACAGAGCTGATGAGGATATATTATCATTTGAAGAGATGAAATAGGAAGTCAAAAAAGGTGTATACTAGCAACATCATAACTGTTACCCTGGAATCTGCATTTCTGAGTTGAAAAGAAATGAGTCTCTAAAGTGGAAATTTCAAATACCAGTCATACTCTGACATTTTAGAGAAAGAAAATTTCGACGATGTGCCTCAACTCACACCATGTAAAACATTGGGTGTTTTGCTTCTATATGAGATTGGCCCTCCAAAGAAGAAACATTTGGGAGTTCTAATCCAGGATAACTCCTCCTCACTGCTTAGTTCTTTTCACTACCAGCAAGTTTCCCAAAACACCAGTCACCAATCTGGCCAAGAATTTAAAAAAAAGAAAGAAAAAGGAGTGATCAAAAGGGAAAGTAAGTATTCTGCTTTTCCCAACAGTAACACATGCCACACCATCTGTCACAAGGGCGAAGTCCTTTCCTTTATTGGCTTTCCAAATTAAAAAAAAGAGAAGAGAAATGAAAGCAATCACCGCCGAAACTGGTTTGGCTCAGTGGATGGGACGTCGGCCTGAGGACTGCAAGGGTCCCAGGTTCGATTCCAGTCGAGGGCATGTACCTTGATTGCAGGAACATCCCCAGTGGGGGGTGTGCGGGAGGCATCTGGTCGATGTTTCTCTCATCGATGTTTCTAACTCTCTGTCTCTCTCCCTTCCTCTCTGTAAAAAATCAATAATATATATATATATATTTTTAAAAATCAATCATCAACTAAGTGGTTCAGATAAAAGCATCTTCACCTGAGTTTCCCATCAGTCTGTTCTGAACAGCCCAACCTCTTCCCACAACAAGCTTCTGGGTACCTAACAACTGTTTACATATTGACTCATTGAAGTCACTTCCATCCCATGGGTCACCTAACTATGAGTATGGTTATCCTCATATCTATTTTATGTACAAGGTCCACAACTAGATCTCTCACTGGAGCAAAATTCTCTGCAGAGTAGGTTCTTTGGGGCCCAAAGGTAGAGGTTTCTAGCAAGACTTTTTTCACACTCAACATATGTATGGGGTTTTTCACTCATGTGAGTTCCCTGGTATACCAAAGGAGCTGATCATTGACAGCTTTTCTCGGACTTCATAAAGTCTCTTCTCAGATTGTTTTTTTTGTGTTGTTACAAACCCAAGAAGATTCTCCATCTAATGTTTTCGCCACATTTCAGACAAACGCCTAAATTTTCACCAATATGGCTTCTTTGATGGGTAAGAAAGTCATAGTTCTATTGGAAGCTTTTTCCACACTTGCTAGGGTTTCTCCCAAGTGTGGGTTTTCTGACATCCAGTGAGCTGTACAGTGTGTGAAGCACTGTTCACACCAAGTGCATTTTCTTTTGGTGAGAATTCCCTCAGAAAGAGAAGAGTGAGCATTGCTAGGAAGCTCACTCTGCATCTCCAAGGTTCCCCACCGGTACAAGTCCTCTTATGGGGATCAGCTATGAACTCAGACTAAAGGTTTTCCAAACCTGAAGGCCTTTGAAGATTTCTTGTTGGACTGACTTATAGGTGTTCCGTTAGGGTTGCTCTCTGGGCAAACCATTTCCCAGTTTCCTAAAAGTGCAGATTCTCTGCTCTCCACTGAAGTCTGAGCTCTTCCAAAGGTCTAAGATTTGCCTATAGTTTTTCATCTTAATGAGTTCTCTACTCGAAGTACTTTTTTTGTGGTGTTATAACTTCTTGTCTGGCCAAGAAGTCTGTGAGATTTCTGATGGGTGGGGAGGGCTGAGCTCAATCCCCTTCTCACCCACATGACAGATATATGGTTTTTCACTGATGTGGACTGTCTGATGTTGAAGGAGAGCTGAGCTCTGACGGAAGCCTTTATCACACACACTGTATTGATAATGCAGCTCCTCTGTCTGAGTTCTCATTTTGGGTTGGGCAACAAAGCCCATGCCTAGGAGGAAGCCACTCTCACATGCAGACCACTGGCGTGGTTTCTCTTCCATGTGAATTCTCTGATGCACAATAAGGTCCGAGCCACAGCTGAAACTTTTCTCATATTCAAGGCATTTAAAAGTGTGAGTGTGAGTTGCCTGGTGCCTGATTAGGTTGGCACTCCGAGTAAAACTTCTCATACATTCCAAGCATTTATAGGGCTTCTCCCCTGTGTGGACTCTCTGGTGAACAATGAGGTCTGATTTCTGGCCAAAGCATTTCTCACAGGCACCACACTTATAGGGCTTCTCCCCAGTATGAACTCTTTTATGAACAATGAAGGCTGATCGATGTCGATAACTTTTCTCACACTTATTACATTTGTAAGGCCTTTCGCCAGTGTGAGTTCGCTGGTGGCTAATGAGATCCGATTTCCCACTAAAAGCTTTTTCACACTCCAGACACTTAAATGGTTTCTCACCGGTGTGAGTTCTTCGGTGCCGAATGAGGTTTGTACTTCGACTGAAGCATTTATCACACTCACTGCACAGATATGGTTTCTCACCTGTGTGGCTTCGCTGGTGGACAAGCAGATCAGAGCTCTGTCCAAAATTCTTGCCACAAATGTCACATGTATAGAATTTTTTACCTGCATGTGTTCTCTGGTGTCCTGAAAGGGCTAAGTGGTGCCAAAAGCTCTTCTCACATTTGCTACATTTATAAGGTTTCTCATAATTGTGGATCCTCTGGTGTGAAATGAGATCTGAGCGCTGGACAAATGTTTTCTCACACATATCACATCGATAAGGTTTCTCCCCAGAGTGGGTTCTCTCACACATAATAAGAGCTAAGTTCTCACAGAAGTTTTGCTCCCGTTCAAGGCACTGGTATATCTGATCATCTATTTGAGTAATCTCATGCACATGAATGAAAATCTTTTTACCCTTCTGAGGGCACGCATGATATAATTTCCTTCTCTGAGTTCTCTGATTAGCTCTCTCTTCTGAAGTGCACATTTCTATGGCTCTCTCCTAGGGAGTTTTCCATTGGTCGTCTTGACCCATCATCTTCTTCATTGTCATTTTCCTGACAAGAACTTGAATGACACACTTGTTTTAGACCTTTGAGTCATGAGCTGTTTGTCTCTACAAGTTTCCAGCATCATATACACTAATTTCTTACTCGGTATTTCCAACACTGTGAGACAGAGAGAAATATTATTTTTATTCCTATAACTAAGAAAAGAATGCTCAAAATTAACATTACTGTAGAAAAGACAGAAATTCTGCATCAGGGTACATAATGCCATTGGTTTTTCAGGGGCTGAAATCAGTTAGTTCTCTCTTTGCCAATATCAACCAATCATCAATATATATGGAAAGGACTAGGGATTATTATTTATTTCATGATCTGGGTGATCTCAAACCCAGGTTCTTCCTCTTCCATCATTCTGGCTGAGTAGTGCCTGCCCTGGCATTCTCTGTCCCCTTTGCTGCTGTTTTTCCCTTGGCACTTATCACCCAATACAGTGAATACCTAATTCACTGTTTGCTGTCTACAGTTAGAACATTATGTCTGTTTGATTGCTTCTCTTTCCTTATAATACAGAGCAGTTCAGCCATATAGTTAGTGCTTCATAAGTTGCTTATTACAGTTCTATGAGTGTCCTTATCTGGTAAAGGACAAAGGCTGAATGCCATGAGAGCGTCTGAGGAGATGCCTTTTAGAAGAAAGAAGGGACATTTCAAAAGACGGAGGAAATGGAGCTCACCTAGAATGTAAATGGAGGAAAAGCAGCATTTACTTTCTGGTCCTGAGAATGTGATTTCTCAAGGAAGATTGCATTCTGTAAAACACAAGGACAAGAAAAGGGTAAATAGTCATGAATGAGAAGACTTAGCACTAGATCATGTCACTCAATCTGAAAACAGAAACTTTCATTAACAAGACAAAATGGTGTGTGTGTGTGTGTGTGAAAATGGGTTTTCTTATAAAATCCTTGTCATCCCATTAGACTCTGAAGGAAAAGGACAATAAGAATCTATAACCATCCTTAGGAGTATGACAGCATTTCAGGAAAGGGCCCATAACACTAACCTCTGAAACACTAAGGCATCACCTTCCCCAGGAGTGCAAGGTGCCAGGTCTGAAGTACATCAGGGAACACATGTCCCTGGGACGACACCCCACCTTCCCTGCAAGCCTGCCATCGCCACCATTCTGGTCATCCACAATTTACAACAGACTTGGCTGATTTATATTTCAGCCACAAACAACTCAGGATGCAGTCAACTGGGGGCATGAGTAGTTAGACAGCCAGACCTGTGCACCGATTTCTCCCCTCACAGCTCTAACCTGCCTGCTCCAGGTCACAAGACTTTTATTTGTTCCCTCAGCAATTTTCTGCTATTGAGGACCTGACGCAGACAGCACAGGGAACATACACGTAACTAACCCATGGCCACCAGTAATAACATGACAGGGTTCATGGTCCTGGTTCCAGGAAAGACAGAGGCATGCCAGTTGGTTCTCCCATGAAACGCAACTCTGAACTCCGCACCAGATCACGGAACACAACCAACCTGCAGCGAGTTCACTAAACTGACTTCAGCCAATGGACAGCAAACAGAGTGCAGCAGCCTGTGGCAGAATCAATCTAAAGGTCACTGTCAAAAAGGGAAAACACACTCTAAGTACAAAAAAATTTTTTAAAGACTTCTGATAACAGCAGAATACAAGGAAAAGATTAAGTGTGCTCATAGAAGAGGTGGCCCTGGAACAACTCATAAGAAAGAGCAGAAAGGAAGAGGAGGAATCCTGTGGACCTCATGGCCAAGGTCCTTCAACATGGAGAAAAAAATTTAAATGCACAATATATCCCCCTGGTATATTCTAAAAATGACATCTGGTTTAAAACAACAGAATTTTACCACAATGGCAAAGTGGTAATGTGCTGCTAAATTAGCAACCTTGTAAAATATGTTATGTTCTAATAAAATAAAAATAGTTCAACTAAGAACTGGGAGAAGATGAAGAAAACAGTGAAATAACCTCACTGACTACTGCATTAATTAATGGCAGGCAAGAGTTAAGAATACTATTAAGAAAAATTAAATAAGAAAATTGGACTAAAGGCATTTAAAAGGATCTAAGTACAAAGGTAGCCATTATAACAAAAATCAAACTTTCTAAAAATAGTTTTTTAATGAAAGAGCAATGAAAACACATCATGTAACGAAAAAAAAAAAAAAACACCACAGGACAAATATTACATAACATTGATAACCAAACCTGATGAAGAGAGCATAAAACAATTTTATAGCCAGTATCAGTATCAGTGTGGAAATTACTAGCAAAATCCAACACATTCTTACACAAAATATAGCATACTCTTTTATACCGTTGCTTTTTTAAATTTATGATTTAGTGCTCACTTGGCACTAAAATTAGAACGATACAGAGATTAGCATGGCCCCTGTGCAAGGATGACATGCAAATTCGTGAAGCGTTCTATATAAAAAAATTTTTTTAAAAATTACCATTTATCCTAGAAATCACTCCACATCTAGTGGTAAAGATTTTCTTTATTCACTTTCACAGCTGCATAATACCCCATTATATGTGGGTATACCAAGTTTATTCAACCACTTTCATATGTATAAGCACTTCAGTTGTTTTAAATGTTTTCAAATTATAAGCAGCATTTATGGATGTGTATTATCATATTGTTGGTCAATTTCTAGAAAAGGGGTTGCTGAATCAGATGTAAATGCATATCTATGTGAGCAGAGAAACAAGTAGACAGAATCATAAAGCAAACATAGTAAAATGTTAACATTTAGGGATACAGGAAGAGTGTTTGGGCATTCTTTGTACTATTTTACAACATTTTTGTAAGCCTCAAATTATTTCCAAATTAAAAGCTTTTATTTTATTTAAAAATATTTAAAGAACATGGTAGCTGAGAGTTGGCACATTGTGCTAGTTAAAATTAAATGTTCAAGCTCTGAAATCAGATTTTGGTTTAAGTTCCCACTATAGTCCTCTGTAGCTGTGAGAACCTGGGTACTGACTTAAGGTCCTTTGGCTTCAGTTTCCCCTCTGATAAAGTAGGGAAGCTACGATTACATGCCTCAAGGAGCTGCTGTGAGAACTGAGACAGTGTCAGTTAAGGACTCAGCTCAACGTCTGGGTCTCCACAGGTGCTCAATAAATGACAGGTCCTGTTGTTTTCTAGATTCCTCCTTCACATGCACAAAAAATCCTAACATTCATAAAGCCATCCTCTATGCCTGCCTCTTGTGTAAAGTCTTATTCAAGATCCATTTAAAATAATTAACTAAATAATAAAATAACTCAGCAAGTTAATGAAAGATTGTGCAAAAACAATTATGGAGAAATGTCACGAGGAAAAGGAAGAATCCAGAATCACAACTAAATAAAGATATGCAGGATCTAGACAAAGAGCTAATATAAGATGTGTTTATGGGAGTTCTGTCTTTTTTTAAAATATATTTTATTGATTTCTTATAGAGAGGAAGAGAGAGGGACAGAGAGTTAGAAACATCGATGAGAGAATCATCGATCAGCTGCCTCTTGCACACCCCCACTGGGGATGTGCCCGCAAACAAGGCACATGCCCTTGACCAGAATCGAACCTGGGACCTTTCAGTCCGCAGGCCAACGCTCTATCCACTGAGCCAAACCGGTTTCAGCTGCCTTTTAAAATGCATATTACTGTTAAGCTCAACCAGAGAATAGAGGAGAAATAAAGGATGCTACCCTGACAGGTTTGGCTCAGTGGATCAAGCTTCAGCTTGAGCACTGAAAGGTCCTGGGTTTGATTCCTGCCAGTCGGGGTATAAGCCAGAGGCAGCCAAAATGTTTCTCTCTCTGTCTTTCCCCCTCCCTTCCACTCTCTCTAAAAATCAGTGAAAAAAATATTCTGAGGTGAGGATTAACAGAACAAGAAATAAAGGATTCTGAGCTTGGTCATAGCCTGTAAATGAATCAGAGTATTTCCTAAAGTTACCAGCCCAGGGTATTATATTTGCCCTAAGTAGCCAACAACTGTGGGGCACTAAGAAGGAAAAAAAAAAAAAAAAAAAGTTAAATAAGGAAATAATTTTGTCAAAACTCTAAGTAGACTATAACACTTTCCTACTTCACAATACTATAACTGTCTCTTATCACACGGAATCAACACAAACTTTTCACAGTTGTATGCAATGTGGCACCTCTACCCATCTCCGGCCTCACTTCTTCCTTCTGCCTGGACCGCTCTTCCTCCTTTATTTGATTCAGGTGTCTGACTGAAAATTACTTCTTCAGAAAGCAGCACACTCTGACGACTTTACTTCTCATAACCATACCCCCTTACCCTGCGTTATTTCTCTGCAGAGCACTTATCCCAACTTTGTGTTGTATACTTCATATCTGTTAATTTGTTTCTCCTACTAGAATATAGCTCCCATTAGGTCAGGGTTAGGACTTAATCTTTTGTTCACTGCAGTAACCCTAGCATCTAGAATACATTAGTTGAATAAATGAAAAATATGGATGAATGAATACCAGCACACACACAAAAAAAGAGCCATCACCATCCTTGAACAATGCAAGCGGCCAGGAGCTCTGGCAAACCTACATGTACCCTTCAAGTCTGAGCTTCAGGGAGCCCTCCTCTAGGAAGACATAGCTCTCTCTTCCACCAGGAGGGTCAGGTGCACAGAAAGAACAGCAAGCAATAAAAGCACAAGCACACCAGCTGAGCAGAGAACTCCAAAGCTCAAGGTTATCCTTATAGTTAAAGGTTATATGGGACAAGCACACAGAGTCTGTAAAGCTTCATCTAAAAGTCAGATACCCAAAACCGGTTTGGCTCAGTGGATAGAACGTAGGTCTGTGGACTGAAAGGTCCCAGGTTCGATTCCAGTCAAGGGCACATCCCCAGTAGGGGGCGTGCAAGAGGCAGCTGATTGATGACTCTCTCATCGATGTTTCTAACTATATCTATCCC